GGCATGAAGAGGAGCAGGAGGAGGAGGAGGAGGAGGATGAGGTGGAGGAGGAGGAGGAGGAGGAAGAAGAAGAGGAGGATGATGATAATGAGAGAGGAGGAGGAGGAGGAGGAGGAAGGAGGAGGAGGAGGAGGAGGAGGAGGAGGAGGAGGAGGAGGAGGAGGAGGAGGGAGGAGGAGGAGGAGGAGGAGGAGGAGGAGGAGGAGGAGGAGGAGGAGGAGGAGGATTTTAGTGCCCTCCTCTGTGGGCGCCGAACATGCAGGTGCAGTGCATGGGCCTCACTATCTCGAGTGAGGAAATCCAGATCTGCGGGAGCCAAGCTCTCCATAACCACCTCCGCGCCTCATGTGCGCGGGTGCTTGCCTCGCTCGAAGCGGCTTCGCCGCTCCTTGGCCACCTTGGCCATCACGAAACCTGGTTGGCGGGCTGGGCAAGGTTCTGCCAGCCCGCTCGTCAGGAGCTGCGCATACTGCGCACACTGGACACAGTACAGTAGAAAGTCGCCTTGCTCATCAGGCGTGTCACTGGGCCCGATGACCGCGCCCCAACAGACCATGCGAGGCTGTGTGCTGCCGCAACCGTTGCCAGCTCGGGGGCGCCTCGCGCCCGCAATCGGAGGCCATCCCAGCCTTCCAGCTCCGAAAACCATGCAACCACTGCACGCACCGCCAGCGGCCATCAGCCACCTCGTGCAGTTCGTTCTGGAGAAAGCACGGTCTGACCGCCGACGGGGGAGACGCACGCGGGGGCAGGTGGGCCCACTCCACCCTTTGGGAGCCGGCCCACCCGCCAGCACCCGCCCCAGGATCCACAAGCCACGGCGCGCCTCGGCGCACGCGTCTTCCAGGCGCACCTCGTCTCGGGCGTGCCTGGGCCACAGGTTGAGGGCCTGCTTGGCCGCGTCGTCGGCCCACGGGTTGAGGACGGCCCGCCACTCGCCCTCGCTCGGAGGGGCGGCTGGGACGTCCTGTGTGGGGCTCGACCTCGAGCCCCGCGCTATACGCGAGGTCCCCGCGCCTGACTCGGCGCCGATGCCCAGCACCAACCCATGCCGGACTAGAGGTGCACATACGCCCGCGCGCTCTGGCGGCCAGCACTGCCGCGTTGTCGCCTATGTACGCAGGCGACCCGTCTGAGTATTCAGCCCCAAGGCAGAAGGCCTTGAGCTCAGCCGCATGAGCAGTAGGAGGGGGCTGAGCGGTGAGAGACCCAAGGGGCTTGCGACCGACCCCGCCCCCCCGCAGCACCACCGCCCATCCCGCCTTCCGAACTTCCTCGAGGCGGCTGGTGGTGGCCGAACCATCCCCCGCCATCGGCTGGCCTGGGTGAAACGCGAAGCGATTCAGATCAGCAGGCAGGTCGTCCTCAACCGCTCGCACGATCATCTTCGCTGGCGCGCTCGGGAGGCCCACCTCGGGCCTGACAGGCAAAAACGGCGCTCTAGGACAGAAGGGCCCGACGTTTTCCTCGCCCTCGCGCCGACGCCGCAGGAGGGAGGGGGGAGGTGGCGTCCCTTTTGCTTGGCCCTCTGAAAAGGCCACGCGCACTCCGAGGCGGTGCGCCAGGTCGTCGGCCACCTCGCAGCGCCGACAGGCGCCCGCACTCGTCGCAGCCCCACTCGACCATCTTAGTCCCCGTGAGGTAGGTGCCGCCCATGACGGAGGTGATGGCCCACTTCTTGAGCGGTGTGAGGTGCTTGGACCCAATCGTGTTGGCCACCACCTCCCACCACACGTTGGAGAGGTCCTGTTCGCTCAGCCATTCACGACACCTGACGCTGTCGGTGGCCTTCTCCCGCACACGGTCGACGACGTCCTTCAGGTAGAAGTATTCCGTGCGCTTCGGGGCGTGTTCGAGGGCCGAGATGCGGCCGAAACGCGGCGGGCGGATCCGTTCTCGACCTGCCAGCCCGCAATAGTGGTGGCCTTCAGCGCTGCGCGATGGGCCCCGCCGCCGCTTTACCCTCTAGGTTCTCCTGCAGGGCCTGCTCGAAGACGCGCCTGAGCGTGGTGACGGGCAGCACCTTGCCGTGGCGTTGGCGCTGGTCGGTCGCCCTCCAGCGGCATGAAGGCTGCCTTGCCTATTTGGGCCAGCTCGGGGTGGATGGCACCGAAGACGTCGGCGACGTGTGGCCGTGCCTGTAGACCTGCTTGGTGATGCGCCTGAGCCCCTCGAGCTCCTGAAGCGTGAAACCGTTGACCTCGCCTCCCCACTTCGTGGGCAGAATCGCGGAGTTGAGGATTCGCCTGGTCTTGCTGTAGTCCTTCATGGCACGACCGCCCATCGCCATCCTCAGCTTCGCCGCCTTCCACCTGACCCCTCGCACAGGCCTAGGGTGGATGCTTCGTATGACCGCTCCGTGTCGTCGCTTGCCTGCACGAAAGTCAGCTCCAAGGTGGCGGACCGTTGGGGCAGGTCTGCCTGGCTGCCGACGGCGGTGTCCACACTGGTGCTTGCCCTGCCCCCGCTGCGATGTGCCGTCGGCCTTGGGGAGGCCGAGCCCTGCAAGTCTGCGCTTGCCCTCGTGCGTGAGCTCGTCGCTGTTCCCGAAAAGGGGAGGAGGAGGAGGAGGAGGAGGAGGAGGAGAAAGGTGAGGAGGAGGAGGATGAGGAGGATGAGGAAGAACATGTTGAGGAGGAGGAGGAGGGGGAGGAAGAGGAGGAGGAGGAGGCGGAGGATGAGGATGAGGAGGATGATGAGGATGATGAGTAGGAGGGGGATGAGGAGAACGAGGAGGAGGAGGATGAGGATGATGATGAGGATGAGGTGGAGTATGAGGATGGTGATGATGAGGAGGAGGAGGAGGAGGTGGAGTATGAGGAGGTTGAGGCGGAGGAGGACGACGAGGAGGAGGAGGACGAGGATGGTGATGATGCTGCTGATGATGACGATGATGATGATGGTGATGATGATGATGATGATGATTGTGATGCTGATGTTGCTGATGATGACGAGGTTGATGGTGAGGATGGTGATGATGGTACTGGTGATGATGCTGCTGATGGTGATGCTGATGGTGACGCTGACGATGCTGCTGCTGATGATGCTGCTGCTTATGATGATGCTGCTGCTGCTGAGGATGCTGATGCTGATGCTGATGACGATGATGCTGATGGTGATGATGCTGATGATGCTGATGATGATGCTGATACTGCGGAGGAGGAGGACGAGGAGGATAAGGATGACTAGGCGGCTGATTATGCTGAGGATGCTGATTCTGATGATGATGCTGATGATGCTGATGATGATGCAGATGCTGATGCTGATGCTGACGATGATGATGATGATGATGCTGGTGATGCTGATGATGCTGCTGCTGATGATGATGATGATGACGATGATGACGATGGTGATGACGATGATGATGACGATGATGATGATGACGACGATGATGATGCTGATGATGATGATGCTGCTGATGATGATGATGATGATGATGATGATGATCATGATTATGATGATGATGATTATGAGGAGGAGGAGGAGGAGGAGGAGGAGGAGGAGGAGGAGGAGAGGACGAGGCGGAGGACGACGACGAGGATGATGATGAGGAGGAGGATGAAGAGGATTACGATGATGATGCTGTGATGATGATGATGCTGATGATGATGATGATGAGATGATGAGGAGGAGGGAGGAGGAGGAGGAGGAGGAGGAGAAGGATGGGGAGGATGATGATACTGCAGATGCGGAGGAGGAGGAGGAAGAGGAGGAGGAAGAGGAGGAGGATGTGGAAATGGGGGAAGAAGAGGAGGGACAGGAGGAGACGGATGATGAGGATGAGCAGGAGGAGGGACAGAAAGATGAGACGAAAGAAGAAGAAGAAGAAGAAGAAGATGATGATGATGATGATGATGATGATGATGATGATGATGATGATGATGATGATGATGAGGAGGAGGAGGAGGAGGAGGAGGAGGAGGAGGAGGAGGAAGAGGATCATGAGGAGGAGGAAGGAGGAGGAGGAGGAGGAGGAGGAGGAGGAGGAGGAGGAGGAGGAGGAGGGACAGGAAGAGGAGGAGGGACATGAGGAGGATGAGGAGGAGGAGGAGACTGAGGAGGGGGAGGAGGAAGAGGAGGATGAGGAAGAGGAGGAGGAGGAGGAGGAGGAGGAGGAGGAGTAGGAGGAGTAGGAGGCAAAGGAGAAGGATGAGGAGGATGAGGAGGAGGAGGAGGAAGAGGATGTTGAGGAGGAATAGGAGGGAAAGGAGGAAGAGGAGGAGGAAGAGGAGGAGGAGGAAGAAGATGAGGAGGAGGGAAAGGATGAGGGACATGAGGCCGAGGAGGATGAGGAGGAGGCTGAGGAGGCTGAGGGTGAGGGGGAGGAGGAGGCGGAGGAGGAGGCGGAGGAGAAACAGGAGGAGGAGGAGGAGGAGGAGGAGGAGGAGGAGGAGGAGGAGGAGGATGGGGAGGATGAGGAGGACGAGGAGGAGGGACATCAGGAGGAGGATGATGATGAGGAGGCGGAGGGACAGGATGAGGGAGAAGAGGAGGAGGAGCGAGGGGAGGAGGAGGAGGAGGAGGAGGAGGAGGAGGAGGAGAAGGAGGAGGAGGAAGATGACGAGGAGGAGGATGATGCTGATGCTGATGGTGATGCTGATGATGCTGATGATGGTGATGATGATGCTGATGATGATTATGATACTGATGATGCTGATGATGATGTCGATGATGATGCTGATGATGATGCTGATTATGCTGCTGCTGATGATGATGTTGATGCTGATGTTGCTGCTGCTGATCGTGATGATGATGACGATGATGATCATGAGGAGGAGAAGGAGGAGGAATGGGGGCTGAGTACGAGGAGGTGGTGGCAGATGATGATGATGATGATGATGATGATGATGATGATGATGATGATGATGATGATGATGATGATGATGATGATGATGGCGGTGGTGGTGGTGGTGGTGATGATGATGATGATGATGATGATGATGATGATGATCATGATGATGATGCTGATGCTGATGGCTGTGGTGGTGGTGATGATGATG